AGGCTGCAGGGTCTTACATGCCGTGGGGTTTAGAGTTTAGGGGTGTAGGTTCGGGGCTTAGAGTTTAGGCTGCAGGGTCTTACATGCCGTGGGGTTTAGAGTTTAGGGGTTTAGGTTCGGGGCTTAGGGTTTAGAGATTAGGCTGCAGGGTCTTACATGCTAGCTGGGCCAGCTACTTCATCATGCAGAGTTGCCCTGGAGCGCTGTATCCAATCGCGATAGGGATGTGCCCATGCCCGAAACTTTCAAAACTGAACCCTGCACCAACACTCCAGAACAAAACAATGAGTCCTCCATAGGCCCCAAACCCCACACCTTGAACCCCTAACACACAAATCATACTGGAAGGCCTTCAATCGCAGAGTCCTAAATTAAAAGCCCGCCCGTTTCAACACACCACCACTACCCTAAAAAGGGCAAGACACGCCTTAACCTTAACGTTGAACAGTTTTGATATCCTAAAACGAAGCCCGCTCAAGTTTTGAAAGCTAATGGGCTTATACATAAACAACTTTAAATGACCCCCTAACAACTGTAGGTCTGGATCCTAGTATAGCAGCAATATTACGGCCCTTAGAGAAACAGGGCTTTTTGATCACGGGTCTACATTGTCTCTCCTTTTGGGTTGATTAATGCCGAGCTGCTTATTAAGTTTAAGCAGGGGGTAAACCCTAACCGTAAACCGTGGCTCTAACCCCTAATTGCATAAGGAATTTTCAGTAGGGTTACGACGAAGTGTTTTCCAAACGCACAGCCTGCATCCTACCGCGTTTAGGGTTTAGGGCTTCGGGTTTAAACCCCTAAAGCCAAAAGCCTAAGCCCCAGACTGGCAACCCTAAACCCTAAACCCTAAACCCTAAACCCTAAACCCTACACTAGAAGCACTAAACATCCCTAAGCCCCAAAAGCAAGTTCTGAAACGAGCACTGGGATCATCCAACCGACGGCCTGCACCAGCCCCAATCCGAACATGCAAAGAAGCACCAGCCATCGCAAGAATGAGGGATCTTGTTCCGCCGCCATGGCTTGTTAGGTCTTTGTGTGTTGCCTATGGGGCTCTTTTCCGGCTTGTTAGGATTTAGAGTTTAGGAAGTAGGGTTGAGGGAAGTTACAATTGAGGGTTGGGTCCAGGTTTACGGTTTGACCATGCTTGGACACTGTACTCTCGCACAACTTAAGGTTTGCGACTTGACATGTTTTGTGTCCTGTAGCTCATCAATTCGGCAGAAACTGATCCAACAATCAACGCAAGCAGTCTCCAAACAGGTATCTCCCAAAGGGTCCAAGTACCATTATAGTAGGTACTTAGTAGGTATTTGGGCCCCAACAGTATATACTATACCAGTACTTGGACCCTTTGGGAACCCTACATCGGCGTGCGCACTCAACTTGAAGTCCTCCTCTTGCTTCTAGTTTGGCTTTCGTGGCCTCCACTAAAAACACCTTCAGTCTCCATTGTAGTTCCTTTTTGGGGATACCTTGTAAATTCATTAATATATAATTGGTTAAACCGAAAAAAGGAACTACAATGGAGACTATAGGCAATACACAGCACAGTCACAGTGCCAACCGTCCAACAGTGAATACCACCCTATCGTGCAGACTTCGACATCGATGTCCTCTGCGGAACTGAGTCTAAACCCAGAACCCCATACCTGCCTGAATCCTAGAAGCCCTGAAAGAAGCCCTGAAACCCTCAGCCCCTAAATCCCTAAAACCCTTAGACCCCTAAACCCTAAACCCCAAATCCTGAACCCCAAACCCCCAAACCCTAAACCCTGAGACCCCTAAAACCTAAACCCTGAACCCCTAAACCCTTAACCACTGATCTCCTAAATGCAGAAGCCACCTCCTCCGGTACCATCTCCAGAACCAGCACAACGGCGCCGGCTCTGACCAGCTCCTGATCTGACAAATTGCCTTCCTGTAGGGGCCTTTAATACTTAGAATAGGGGTTTTGGGGGGTTCCTTTCAAGGATTCCTTAAAGGGTTCTACAAGGGCTGCTATAAGGGTTCTTTCAGATAGCGGCCTTCATGACTAGAATAAGTTTTTTGGGGGGTTCCTTCTTATAGTTTTAGTATAGTACACCCCAAACCCTATTCTAATTTTTAAGGCCTCTATTATTGCCGGTTTAGGGTTCAGGGGTTTGGGGTTTAGGGTTACTGGGGCTTGAGGAGGAGTGGGTCATGGTTCAGAGGTTTGCGCCTGGGAATCATAGTCGGTATATAATTCCTTCTAGCAATCGCATGCAATCGCTATCCTCATCCCAAGGTAAGCACCAGTAGGTCTCAGCAGGTTGCAGTATGCTGGATTCTATTTGTTCCGCGGTTAGGGGTTCTAAACCCGTTCAAACTTGGACATAGGGTGGGTTTAGAGGGTTTAAGGGTTGGTTCAGAATAGGGTCTATAACCCTGAACCCTAAACCTCTAATTCTGAGAGTGTTTAGGGTTACAGCGGGTAGAGCGTGAGGGGGCCCGTGGGAGTTTACTGAAACTGCACGGTGTTGACGAAGAAAGCGGGCTCAACTCAGGGTTATTGGGTTTAGGGTTTAGGGGTTTTCTGGGGTTTATTTATAGCTTTTGAATGCAACATCATTACAACAAGGACTTTGAGGTGACACAAATTGGTAGTTAAGTGTTCAGGCCACTCAAGCAGTCATGTCTCGACACCAGACATTGTCACAATGTAGTTTCGCCTACGCGCCAGTCCCCGCACGGCAAATTGCAAAGCCTGAACCCTACAGTTTACAACCACGCGGCAAGAGCGCACAGGCCCCTGTCTAAAACCCAAGCCATAAACTGTCGAGCCCTACACTGCCCTACACCCTAACCCTAAACCCTAAACCCTAAACTCACCCTGAACCGTGCGATTGCATTCTTCTGAGGTCCCCTGTCGGACTTTGGTTGAGGGTTTACGGTAAGAGGGCCTCGGGTTCTGGGGTATGGGATAATGTTGGGGGCCTTAATGATTACAAATAGGGGTTTGCGGCCCGGTATACCATAAAGATCATAAGGAAACCCCGAAATAGTATTTATTTTTATTTCAGATGGTGCAAAGTCCCATTGGAACGTACCACATGCTAACGAATTCAAACAGTGAAACTCAACGCGAGAGACGGGCGGCCCTGCGACAACTGAGCTGAATTTAGCAACCAGTCGGCGAGCACACCCATACCACCTCGCGAAAAGGCCGCGCGAATGCTACAAGGCTTCCCCTTCTTTGCAACCGTGACCACAAGCCCAACCCAAGCTAATGCTTGCCTCAACCAAGTCCCATGTCGCTGCATCATACGCAAAGGACAAGAAACAAAGCGCCATAGCTCGGTCACCTCCAACGGGGGCGCAGGGAGACAAACCACGCCGGAACAGGAGACCAGAAGTCCACAGACGTGACCTCACCATCCTCAGCAATCCCACCGGGCAAATCATCAGCAGCCTCAATAGGACCAACAACCCTGACCTGCTTCGCTGGCTTACTGCGATCCCACACAAAGGGAAACAGCAATGGCACAAAGCAATCCTGCGTCTCGGGGCGAGCCTTCGGCACCCTAGAGGCATTGGTGCACCACAGGTCAACCTGCATACACAGAAGCACGTCATTCGCCCACGCGCGCACAGGCCCCTCCTCAAGCCCATCACGCCAAAAGGAAAGCGTAGCACGCAACATCGGGAAAGGCTCAATGAATCCTTTAAGCACTTCGAAAATCTCAACATCGGATTCAAATGTTGTCCCTTGCAGGGTTCGTAAAACACCAACCGCCACATCAACCGGGGTGGACGGGAGGTGCCCAAGGCCGCAACCCGGAATCGACTCAGCCTGCGCATGTTCGTCAGGTCCCAAGACAGGAGGGACCAACCCCGGCAAATCCCATTCAACTGCACGACAGCACGCAGGGTGGAATTGGAGGTGTCGTCTGTGTCGAATGACCGTGGGAAAGCGCATGCAACAGGCTCGGCATTGCTTGCCCTGCGTGTATCTGACCGCGCGCGAACGATACTTGTGCACTCGAGCCGCATGAGCCGACCATGCATGAAAGTCGAAAAAGGCGATCCCACACACAAGACACATGTGCTGCGCAACCTCAACCTCCACCTCAGGCGCCGGGGCAGGTGCCCACAGCACACGGCACCAAAGCTGATAGTGAGCACAAGCACGCAACCGACCAACATGCCAAGCAGCGGCTCGTTTCAAGAGTCCTTTGAACCGACCGGGCTGACCAAAGACAGCAGTCCACACCTCCCAGTCACAGCCTGGCTTAAGCTCACTGGTGTTCTCAACTGCCTGGACCAGCCAAGTCATGGCCGATTGCATGGCAGCCAGAGCAGATCTGGAGTGTTGCAACAACGCGAAAACAGCATCCGGCCCGGAACGGCACAACTGAGCAAGAAAGCGCAGGCGCTCCAATGCGACAAGGCCCTCGACCCCAGGCAACCCAAGCTCACCAAAGATGCGCTCTTTGGTCCAATTCTGCTCTGCACTCAAAGGGATACGAAGCATCTGCCGACCCATGCTGGTGACCCCAGCGTCAAGCAACTTCCATCCGGCCGCACAAAGGCAAGTCCAAGCGCCGCTGCCCGAGAACAACGCAGCCAACACATACACAGTGGGCCGGTTGACTTG